GGGAGCATAGGGGGGGGCAGGGGTGGCAAGCGCCGACCGGGGATAGGTGACCACCCGCACACGCCACCAGCAGTGTCAGCGGTGATTGCTGACTGCCCGCAGATGCCACCACCTGCAGCAGCCTGAAGTCTGAAGGGGTGCACCGCTACGCTCAGGGGGTGCATGTGAAGCCTCCTGCTCCTTCTCTCCTATTGCCAGTGAGTGTGGGGAGGGCGGGGGAAACAAATGGGGGATAGGGGGAATGAATGGGGGCTGGGGCCAGGTGGGGTCCCCCCCAATCTCCTACTTACCTGGCACAAAGCTGGTCCAGGTCCCTGCAGCTTGCACCGCTGCCTGCCCCACACGGGCAGGCAGTGTGCTTCAGCACTGGGGAAAGGGCCAACCACAGAGACGCTCTGGCAGGCTACCAGAGTGTCTGTGTGGCAGACCGAGCCTCTGGTTGCCTCAGGGCACGGTCCTGGACCATGTCCTGACCCACTTTTTCCCCCCGGGGGGGTGTTTGACCCCTGGATATCCAGGGGTTTCATTTTTCCCCCGTGCTGCATATTTGCAGTGCGGAGAACATTTTTTTTTTTTGTACCCGCACATGCCTCTTGCAGTGTCTTAAAGGGGTTTGAGATGCTGCGAGAGGCACGTGCACACTCATCTGGATGCACCCTATATGTTTTTCCACCCTTTTGTAATGTTAACTGTAGTTTTATTTGGAAACTTCATGAACTTTTATTTCAAACGTGCCAAGCTGCCTGTCTTGCATTCAGGCTCTCTAAATAATATTTTCTGCGTTCTTATCTGTGGGTAAGAGAGAGCTCTGATGCTTGTTTTTCCTGAGCATCTAATATTAGTTAGGTTCTGTTGCTTCATATTTCCATTAGTGTTTTGTTGCTTAGTAATCTGAGACAATTTGTCCTTTTTTTCCCTTTTTTTTTCTTTTCTAGTTTGGAAGATGGGGAAGAAGAGCAGAGTCAAAACTCAGAAGTCAGGTACAGGAGCCACAGCAACAGTTTCTCCAAAAGAAATGTTGAATCTAATAAACGAATTATTACAAAGTAAGTTTAATTTGTCTAACGCCATGGGAGAGTGTACAGAGTGAACAAAAATATCTTTATGTTCTTTTAATAATGAATGCAGTTTTTTTTCAGGTGGCATAATTATTTGGAATATTTTTTTTTTCAAATTAGTCCAAATTTCAATTTGGATAATGCAGTCTGTGTCAGGTAGAATACTTCATGCAGTCTCCAGGCTTATTCTTCCTACCTATATAGTGCCTATATCATTTAAAAAAAATGCTGTGCAACCCTACTAGGCAAATCAGCTTTGTTTAAATTGGCTGGCCGTGGGTGCATCTACATATGCAATTAATGAAAAATGATTAACTCTGGAGCACTTTGAGCTGAAATAAATTGCTCCTGGGTGCAGCATCTACACATGCATATGGGACACCAGTAATTTGAGCCGAAGGGGGAGCAGGCTTGTGCTGGTCCCCAGCTGGTCAACATCTACGCATGTTTCAGTGCAGTTAAGTACTCTGTTATGAGAGAGTACTGTCCCCTGTTTTTACAGTGGGGTTAATTAGTGTCCTGTGCCCTAATACTGGTGCACGTGTTGATGGTTATGTTTTACTGTGGAGCTGACTAATTATCTCTGCAGTAAAGCACATGTGTTAGATGAACCTCTTGAGGATTATACAGTTCTGCTTAACAAAATGGAAAATATTTGAATGAATGGCTTATGGTACCACGTGAAGGAGGGGGGATTGCTAGGGCTGTACAAAACTTCAGTCGCTGATTCAATTTGGCCCAATTTGATGGCCAGATCTGCGAATCTGAATCGAATCAGGAGACCCGTTAATCTCTCCGAATCAAATCGGAAGCCTCTGATTCGATTCAGCCATAGACAGTTTTATATGGGTTTTTTTCTACATACCTCGAGGTACCAGGCGCAGCTCATGAATGCTGAGATGATGGGGCAGATGGAGCATCCCATGGGAGTATCCTGCACTTGTAGAAAAAACATATAAAGCTCTTTCTATGACTGAATTGCTGATTCTCTGAATCAGAATTGAATCGGGACAGTGATCCAAATCAGCTAATTGAATCACTGTCCCGCGCATTGGGCCAAATCAGAATTGAATACTGCCCGCTTCACACACCCCTAGGGATTACCTGTGGAAATGTTGACACAAGTTTACAGAACTGTGTTCTTTATTGATACATCTCTGTTCAAGAGGCTAAAGTATCTTTTGTTTATGTAGCTTCATTATTCAGCTCTGGTTCCTAGAGATACTGTACGAATAGAGCAAAACTCCTGCTTTAAAGGATTTTGAGCACACCCAATGATTTCTCCCAGTCTTTCTCTTTGCTTAAAATATCAGTCAAATTTTTGCTACTGATGAATTTGTCAGCTTTGATGGTACTTGGATGGTTTTATAATTTGGTTATTGAAGGACAGCAGGTCTTTATGACATGGCAGTAAAAAAAATCTGATCTCTGTGTACACTATTGGCACAACAGTGGCAGCAACAGCATGCACCACCATTAAAGTGTGTCCTAATCTTACTATTGTTGAATATACTCAAATGTGCTGTGCTAAAAAGTCTTGAAATCACTGTTGCTCAGGCTGGTGAGACAATAAGTTGGCAGAGCACATGATCAATAAATTTTTAGCCTACCTATGTTAACATAATGGTGTAAATCATCCCTATAGGGGAACCCCCTCCCCCTGCCCCCCAAATAAATCTTGTTTTGGACTACATCAACAATTCTGCAGTGCAACTTAAGTGAGCATGCCGTTTTCTTCATCATTTATTTAATTTAAATGAATATTTGGAAAGCAAAGATTATCTTCAAGCATGAAAGTCTAGTTTTCAAATTGGTTTAGTAAGGTAATCTTTGCTGTTGATGTAGTCCAGAACAAGATTTCTTTTAGTTCTCCCCTATAGGGATGCTTACACCATTGTATTAAAATAGGCAGGCTAAATATGTGCAATACTAAGCTTTATCTTCTTGGTGATTCATCACTGTATTGTCCTTTTTTCGTTACAATAAATATCTTTACCATTTCAGAAAAACCTTCTGTTGCTAGTTCTGTCCCTTTTTTCCTCCTCCTATATAATTTTCAGTATTTGATCTTATTTCTGAAGGCAAATAAACAAATGAATCAAAATAAAACATTTTTTAAAGCAAGTGATATAGGAGAATTTCAAGCATCCGCTATCTACATATCCAAGTTGGGAAATGTATAATGTTGTAGGAAATGCTGTGTACCTGTGTTTTAAGTGAAGAAACATTTCCCAGTCAGGTTCAGTAAAAGGGAACTGAAAGCAAGGCCCTTCTCTGCTGAATGAAGTATATTCCATTGAACAATGTTCTTATATGAGTATTTCTGTTTCCAGAATGCAGCAGCCCAACCCCAGGTCCTGGAAAAGAGTGGGAAGAGTATGTGCAGATTCGAGCTTTTGTTGAGAAAATCCGCAAAAAACAAAAAGGTGGATATGAAAACAAAGTAAAGTGTTGTGCGACTCTTGCATCACACACACACACAACATTCATTCCACTGTCGTCTATGCAAAATACCTAATCAGATGTGGAAAAGCAAAGAACAATTTTCCTAACTATTTAGTTGGTCTAATAAAAGATGTCACATTTACCCAAATAATCTTGTCAAACATAGGAAAGAATGCTAGTTAAAAATAGTATTTGACAAGATCACTAGACTGACACAAAGTTGAAGTCAGTATGGCATCCACAAGCAAATCTTACATCTTGCATAACTATCTTTTTCCCCCTTTAAAAGGTTGTGTGAAAAGGAGGACATTTTTATTTAAAAAGAAAAAAAATTATAGGACAATTTCCTAATGGCCGAGTAAATACGTTTGTGATAATATCACTGTAGCCAACGTGTGACTAGAGTTCTTTATCAAAAAGACAGAATTCTGAGTGAGACGTTAGTAGCAGCAGTGATTTGCATTAATCACTTGAAACTGGGCAAAAACTATGCTACTCGTATGTCCATTTTTATCCAATGACTATTAAATGCAAAACACAGAAATAGCTGGGGGTGGGAGGGCAGAGCAGGGGCCAAAGTCCAGGACTGCTCATCTTCCAGAGCAGTGTCTTTGTCACTGAGACACTCCCTGTTTCTGGCCCCACAGGGACCAGTTTCAATAGGAAGAGTGGAGTTTTCTCTTGGCCATGCCTAGCCCTTGGCCTGGTGAATAAGGGCACTTTTAGTGGAAGGTGGGAGATACAGATTTAAACTCCCTCAGGGTGATGGGGGCCTAAAATGTTGATCTTCCAAGTCCTAGGTATGTGCCCCAATTACTAAAGTATTGGGATAAAAGGTATGAAAAGCGTTCTTCATGACTTCAGGAAAACCTTTCTAAAGGGCGTAATGTCAGTAATCTGCATAAGTGGCCTAAAATGCTGTTCTGTGCAACTGTGTTAACTGTTATCTGTGCAAGTACTACATACCTGCCTAAAAGTGGAATTGGATCGGGGCCCATGCTACTTGATTTCTTTGCATTTCAACTTGAGTGGTATAGTGGCAAAAAGAATCTTACGGAGGATGGAAGCAGTGTGAATATTTAATGTTACATTACCAGATGTGTTTTGCAGTGAAAATGTAGAACTGATTAGCCATAATAATCATGTTCCGGTAACTCATTTACATTTGTGTGGTGGGCATATAGTTTTCCCCAGTTTCATTTATTTGGAGGGAGCATAGCAGTTAGGCTGCAGAGGGTTTTCTGTGTCACTAAAAATACAAATGTATCTAACAGGTGGCATATATCACTAATTCGAACAACCTACTCTTGATTTACCAAACAAGTTTTAAATGATTAGAAGAATTGTGCCAGTTAGCACATACTTAAGTGTGCATTCTACAGTGCTCTTAAATAGAATTGATTGGAGGCTATGAAGCCGAATTAGTTAAGTTTTTAGAACACTTTCACTATGAGCTCATAAGAACCTACAGTTTTATTTTTTTTAATGTTTTTCATGGCTTCTGAGCAAAATTTTACATGTAAAAGAAATGATATTTTGGTCAGTATAAGCATTTCGTAGCAGTACATGCAACATTAAGTGATTGCTAACACTCTTTGAATAGGAAAAATGTATATTGTAAACAGGAGGAGTGTTTCTGCAGTGGGCATAGAATAATTCTAAATGCAATCCTTCAGCCTTATACAGTAGTAAATGTTGTGCTTTGTTCATTTAATATCCTAGAAAATGTAAACACCTATCAAATTCTGTTGAAGTTACACAGTGAAGTGTGAGGCAACAGCTCTAAATATGTTCAACAAAAGATAACAAACAGAAGTTAGGATGAAATGAAAGAAGTGTCTCAGCCCTATACTATATACTAAACTCTCACTTCATTAAAAAACTATTTTGTCAGTGATGGCAAATACAACTTCTTATTAATGTATCTGTCAAAGATTAGAGTGTTAGCAATGCTTGTACTGTCATTTTATAATAGAAGTCGGTTTTAAAATATACAGTCAAAGTAAAATCAGTAAGTTTTTGACTTCCTTAAATGGATAGTCTAAAGTTTTCTTTTCATCATGAACAGATTTATCAATGCTTAATTAGAATCTCTTTGCAGACTGCTTGGCAGTCATACACATGAGTGCTCAGTACATTTGGCCTCAGCTTCTTGGGGATTATGACTGCATTTGTCAGAAGCAGGGGGCTGACACGAGAGACTGGATCTGGGCTGGGGCTAGGGAGTGCGATCAAACCCTCTGTGTGGTGTTCAGCACAGATAAAGGTTAAGGAGGCCACCTCATGCAAAAGATAAATAAAACCTGGGATTTTATTTATAACTTTATGCTTGTGGGAGAAGTGGAAACAAGAAGCCTTCATGGGAGGAGTGTAGTAAGGATCTGGAGGAGAGCTGTATATTAGGGTTAGCCTTAGGAGGATCTTCTGGTAATCAAGGTTTATACCAGTGCTGTCCAACTTTTGGTCTGTGGACCACATGCAACCCTAAAGGGATACACTGCAGCCCCAGGTTCCTGGACCAGGCACCATCCTTTCCTTTGCTCTCTTGCTGCTGCCACTGGAGTCCTCAGGGACCTATGGATCCCAGCCAGCATCCATCAGCGCTGTGCAGTGGGTCTCCTGCCATGCAGTGGAGGAGGGAGTGGCTAAGAGCTGTTTTGCATACTATTCATGGACATAGGGGTCCTGTTTGGTGCAGAATACCTATGCGGTGGGGCCCAAGCACTGCAATGGGGAGGGCTGGGGGGATTATTGTGGCCCAGGTGTGGCCCACAGTGTGTGACTAAACAGCTTGCAGTCTTAGCTGCTCAGAAGTTGGTCATTCCTGGGTTATACAGTTGAAGCACACCATACTAGAGGAAGTTAATGCTTGATACATGACGGGGAGGAAGGATCAGATGGAGTCATTTTAGAATACCCATCTCACCAATAAATTGCTAAAGTTGTAGCCTACTGCTAAAGTCTGTCACTGTCTCTCTATTTACCTGCGTTTTCTGCTTAGTGCATTTATTATTAACACTCAGCAATGGGATGTCTTCATTCTGACCTCAGTTAAATGAGAAAAGGAGGGTGGTTTTCTTGCATACCTTTTCTCAGGCTACTTTGAATGGCTATGTTTCAAAGATGACTGGTAAGCAAATCCGGCAGAATGTCTGGGTTGACTAAAATCAGATTATGATTGTTATACTGCTGAGTCACTTGCAACAAAGACTAGTTTTGACAGCCTTTTCAAAGAAGGTCTTCTGTGAGATAGTTAAGAGTTTGTTTATATGAGCTTTTATATTAGATTTTTTTGGCCTATAGGATCTTATTATTTCTGTGTCTTTTTTAAAACTGTGTATAGGTTTGTCTGTTACCTTTGATGGGAAAAGAGAGGACTATTTCCCTGACCTAATGAAGTGGGCCACTGAAAATGGAGCATCCACAGAGGGTTTTGAAATAGCTAACTTTGAAGAAGAGGGATTTGGTTTGAAAGCAACAAGAGAGATAAAGGTGAGCATGCAAACATTTGACTAGATTAGAAAACCATGTTTGAAAGTATAATTGGAAGACACTGAAACTATACTTTTTCCATTTCAGTTTCTGCACATTGTATATGTAGTTAACTGGAACTAATTCTTTTATTGTAAATTCTGTTCCCAAGAAATAATGTTAGAGTAGTATTTTTCATATAATTAACTGATAGGCTTTGTGAAAATGTAAATATTGATTCACAGACCCATATTTATTCACTATTACACATCCCTTCTTAGAACTCACATGCTTCTGTGTCATGCAGAAGAGCATTAAAATATTAATTTTGGGGTTAATGGAAAAAAATACTGATGTCTTCTGGTCATCTGATATAGTATTAACTTCTTGCTACAGTTTGTGCATTTGTTTATTTAAACTTGTGTTGTGGTTTTTACTGTCATAATGTAAAAAAGTGCCCATCATATTTCAATTTACTTTGTGGCAGATGGTAGGAGAGTCTTGGTTAAGCTTAATTTTAGGATTTAAAAAAAGGGAGAGAGGAAAACCTCTTAATTGATTTTAAAAGATGTTCTTTTTATATTTGAGGTACTCTTGTTATATTTCACGTAAATTATAGATTAAGCCTTGAATTTTCTTGTTCTGTCATCTCCTATTTCTTCTACTCCTCCTCCCAGGCAGAAGAACTGTTTCTTTGGGTTCCTAGGAAATTGCTGATGACAGTTGAATCTGCCAAAAATTCAGTGTTAGGTAAGACCAACTTTTAAACTTTCTGAAAAGTATGTGCAGGACCATATCAGTGGAGGGTCTTTTGTCACAGGCCTGCAAATCAGTACAAGAATGGCTTAGTAATCTAAACAGCAGATTTGAAATACCTAGAGTTTTGAAGTGACAGTGACCAGAATTTAATTCCCCTGTTCCTTCCTATCCAGTGTACATCAGGTACCCTACTGTGGGGTGTGCATTTTAATGGGGATGGAATTTTAATTCCTGAATATCTTTAACAGTTTGTAGAGTATTTGGTGATGAAGTGTGCTTTTAAATGAAACTACTGAGCTGATATCTTACCTTTTAATTCATCTTTTTCCTAGCCACACCCAAAACATAACTTTTTGATAAAATATATATGATGTAGTGCAGGTTTTTAAGATTTATTCTACCACTCGGTTTAATCAGCTTCGGCCAGCTACATACGCTGGCAATCTCAATATTTTTTGATAATTTTGAATCATATGAATTTAACACAAATTTAATAACATCTTGCCTTTGGAAAACATAAGTCATTAATCCCTCTTTCTCCCCCTCCTCCCCCCCTCCTTTTTTTTTAATGGATTAATTCAGCATCGTTGTATTCTCAAGATCGAATTCTCCAAGCCATGGGCAATATCACACTGGCATTTCATCTTCTTTGTGAGCGAGCCAGTCCTAATTCTTTCTGGCTGCCATACATTCAAACTCTCCCTAGTGAATATAATACTCCTCTGTATTTTGAAGAAGATGAAGTTCAGTATCTTCAGTCAACTCAGGCCATACATGATGTCTTCAGCCAATATAAAAACACAGCTCGACAATATGCCTATTTCTACAAAGTCATTCAAGTAAGTAGCTTAAACTTAATTTGTGGTGTTCAGTGTTGTTATTGAGAATTCTGAAGAAAAGAAGTAACACACTGGCAATAAATGAATAGATCTTTTCAGTTCAAAAAGCTGCAGAGATCTGAGTCATTACATAATTTCTCCTTTTTTGTTAAATACTGTTGGAATTTCATGTCAGTAGGTTTGTTAAAATGTAAAATGTATTTAAAAGAAAGCAAAATAATTATTTTAATTGAAGTAGGAAACAACTAATTATGTAAAAGTATGGACAAAACTACCTCTTAACTCCTTTTAAAAGGAGAAGGAACTGCTACTTGGGAGAACCTAATCTCTTACAATGTAATTTATAGCTTTGTGACCCATAAAAGATAATGTTAAAAGGTAAACTTGTAGTAGTTTTGCTACACTTTGATTGTTACAGAAGCATGCATATGTAATGTTGTAACAGCTGATATGGTATACTTTGATATTACTACTATTATTACATTTTCTGTATCAGGGGTGTCACGTGCAGCCTGCAGGCCAGATCAAGTTCTGTCATCTGGCCCATGATATTATCTGTTGCACGTGGGGTTTGGTCTGTGAACCTGATCCAGCCCATAGACCAGCCCTGTGACCCTCACCATCCTCATGGCTGGATGAGTTTGATACCCCTGGGTCTCTATCATAAGTCTGTCTTTAATCAGTGCATAGCAATATACGATTACTTTCAGCAGATTTCCTTTAAATACAAAAGTAGTGTCTGTCTAGTAGAAAAATGTATCTGTAGAATTATAAGACAAGAACTGCTTTATGTTAACTTTTTTCACTGTACTTTTGAAGTATGTTTTTAAAAGTTTGTTTGCAAACTCAAGTCAAAGAGAGCTACTACTTTGATTAAGCTTAGATGTCAATCAATATTATGAGTGAATAGTGGTGCGTCTTTGCTAAAGAAAGATCAGTAGCCAGCATAAAGAGCTACTTGTGACACAAGCCGCATATAAGGGACACGTGATACTGTTTTCAAGTTCACAATAGGGGTGGTAGACTGGAGGGCACTTCTTTTGATCTTTTTTCTACTTTCCAAACTTTGATAAAATAAAAAGAATTCTAGTCATTCAGGCCTTTCCTGCTAATAATTTGTTTCAGTCACCTAAGATCAAAAGTTATTCAGATGGCAAAACCTTGACCAGAATAACTTGGGATGCATCCTATTAGAATGCCATTTTGTCAAGCACTGAAACTCCTTTATGAATTTGGGGATAACTTTTAAAAACAAATAATGAGCAGAGTTCCTGTTTTTTTTATGTTTAAAAATTGCAAAATCTCAGATTTGAAAAAAAGGAATTTAAAAATTCAAAAATCCGTGATTAAAATTAAATCTCACACACACACACACACACACACACACACACACACACACACACCCTCTCAATTGAACACAATGTGTTTTCTTAATATTTAAAAATTTGAAACAATTTGGAAGCCTAACCGTGCCTCAATCACTATAATAAAATAATTTCTAAGTACCTATAAATTTTGGTATTTGATTTTGGGTTTTTATCATGGAAAATCAGAGCTCTCTCTGCCCCCTTTGCACCCCAGGATGCAGGTCCAGGCCCCTCTCTCCCACCCACAGCCCCACCAGCCCTGCTGGAGGGGGCCCCCAGTTGCCAAGGCTATGTGGCCACAGCCTGCTGCCCCCCGCAGTACCCAAGGCCCACTTGCCACCCAAGGTGGAGTGGTGTGTGGAGCCTGACTCCCCCTCCCCCATGGGCAGCACAGCCAGAATGGATCCTGTGTTGGGAGGTGGAGGTGGGTACTGGCTGTCCACTGCGGGCTCAGGCTCCCCACTCTGCTGCCCTCCCCTCAGGCCTTCCATGGCCCAGCGGGTGAGATCCAGCACAGCAAGGCAGTGGGGCTGAGCAGGGAAGCTCATTGCCATTGCTGTGAGTGCTGTGTTGCCATGGCGAGGTACTCCCTGCCCTCCTGGTAGCAGTGACAAGCACAGCTCTGCGCCACTGCCCTGCTGCTGCTAGCAGGCAGGGGACACTTCTCCTGGGTGGTGTGGGGTGTGCAGTAGCAAGGAGCTACCCTTGGAGCTACCCTGCCTGGTCCAACTCTGTCCTGCCACGCCAGGTTTCACCGGCTGGGCTTTGTAGGAGGCCCTGGGGGGAAGCCAGCAGGGCAGGAAGCCTGAGCCCGCAGTAGGCAGCCGGCCCCCACCCTAAGCACAGACCAGAGGGGCACGTGCTCTCCTGGGAGCACGCGCTGTGGTGAGGAACCAGTTCCACCCCATACACCCTGGATGAGCCTTCCGTGGCTCTGTCCTGTGGCCACACTTTCTGGCCCTGGGCCCCAGCTGGGCAGCAGCCCCAGCCCTGCCCAACTTGTTCCCTCCCTATGCAGGCTTCAATCCCCCTTCCCTCACCCCCCTCACCCCCCATCTGACTTACCTGCAGGAGCTATTCTCCAGGCTGCCTGGTGGCCCTGTGCAAGTGTAAGTGCACACATGCATGCACATGGTGTCCCCTGCCTGACCCACCTTTCTTCCACTCCTCCCATCCCCTTGCAGGCTGGAACTCTACCAGAGAGCTCCATTAAAATGAAAAAAATCCACGTTTCTCTCAGTTAAAAGTGGAAATCCACGTTTTTTTCCATTTTCCCAAGGGAAATGGAAAACCTGGATCCCTGATAATGAGTCACTACTTCAGTAGAGATTTAACATGTCTGAGGTGGGAAGGGTGCTTTCAGGGTATAAGCATTCCATTGCAACTGTGCAGAGCATCCTGTCGTCTGAAAAGTAAAACTGACTTTAACAAGTTATTGTCACAGTAGAGTACTACTCACCATTAATAATTGTTTGCAGAACTGCACACCAAGTTTTTGATCCTACAACTGCTTCTACAGATGTTTACATTTACTACCTTGTCTAGTCCCATTTGTTTCAATGGGATTATTCTTGATGGTGAAGCTGTGCGTACATGTCAATATTTAAACGCTCAGAGCCTTAGGTTATTAAAAATAGGGAAGACTGACGTAGAAATGTTGTTTTGCTGGAAAAAGAGACTCTAAATAGCCTGTCAAACTAGAGGTGCACCGATATATTGGTCACATATCAGATCAACACCAGTAACAGGAAAATTTAAAATTATTGGCAGTTGGCTTTTTTGTCCAGTAATGTCATCAATAAATGCTATGTGCATGCACAGCATGCAAGCAGCCAGGAATGCAGCTGGGAGAGCAGCTTCCTGCAGGTAAGTATTTGGGGGGCAAGGGGCATGGTGGGGGGGTAGACTGAGGGAGTGGGACAGAGCTGCAGGAAGGTTGTCTAGTTGTTTGAGGGAGTAGGGAGTGGGGTGGCTCCTGTGGGGGGAGGCATGGGGAGCATGTTCCACCCTGGATTTGTGTGCAGGGTGAGGGAAGCCCTGCAGGCTTGGGGCCAGGGGCTGTGCCAGCCTCTTCCCAGTGCAGCAGGGGTGGGGGAAGGACAGTGGTGGTGGTGCTGGAGGGAGTCTACAGGGAATTTTGGGGTGGCCATAGCCCCCCAAGCCCTCCCTAGCACTGTCTCTGCTCAGGGCACTATGTGGAGGTGATAGGGGGAGCCTGGTGGGCTGTAGTCACCCCCAAATTCCCTGTAGCTTCCACTACAAGTGCTGCTGCCTGCCCCACACAGCTCGGCCTCCCCCAAGCACAGCCCCAGCCCAGCTTCCCTGCTGGGAAGAGGCTGGTGCAGCCCCTGGTCCCAAGCCTGCAGTGGGCAGTCCTGCACACAAATCCAGGGGGCACAATGCCTCCCCTGGGGGTGCACGCAACGGCAGGGGGAGGCCGCCCATCGCGCCGTCCCGG